TAAATATATAAATCAAATATCCTTTAGGAAAGAGGAGGAAGAGAAGTAAGATGATGGTAGAAGAAGGGAGATGAGGTTAGAGGAAGGAGGAGGAGGGAGATGGGGGTAGAGGAAGGAGGAGATGGAGAAGAGTGATGAGGTTAGAGGAAGGAGGAAGAAGAGAAGGGAGATGAGGAAGGAAGAGGAGAAGGGAGATGTGGATAGAAGGAGGAAGAAGAGAAAGGAGATAAGGGGAGAGGAAGGAGGAGGAGGAGAAGCGAGATGAGGGTAGAGGAAGGAGGAGGAGAAGCAAGATAAGGGTAGAGGAAGGTGGAGGACCAGTAGAAGAGAAGAAAATGTGCTGTTATCCACAATAGATACGTGCAACCTTTTTTGGTTGCTTTTGCTTTTTTTAAACAAGCTAGATTTTACTTACAGCCCTCAGAAAAAGTTTAATTTTATAGTTCTTTACAGAAGATATCAGCCAGCAAGGGAGTGCTTTGTGCATTCTTTTTGATCAGTCAGGAAATTCACCAAACTCATAGACCTGTATTTTAGGTACGAATGCATATGGCTTCCCGTGTGTATATATATGTACGGTATATACACACAATGCACATTCCTTTTAATTTTCTGGCTGAATTGACTTCACATGGGGAAAAAATAAAACCCCTTTGAGGATACTCGGTGCCATTCCGAGATGGCTGTATGTATTACACTTATGTACTGCAAACTATGCTAACACTGAAACCAAGGGCAGGAGGATGGGAGCAGTGCAGAGCTATAGCTGGGAATGAAGACATGGAATGTAGCTTTTGCCCTCTGTGATGCAGAAGTGATACAACTGATGAAAACAATTCTAAAGGGAATCCGGGAGCATGGATTATTTCTACAGTTCTAGCATTCCAAAAATAATAGTCATAGCCGAGATCTAGAAAATGTTCATAATACACTATATTACCGAAAGTATTAAGACGCCTCCCTTAACACGCACATGAACTTTAATGGCATCCCAGTCTTAGTCCGTCGGGTTCAATATTGAACCAAATGTCTGAATATTTTTGCTGTGTTGGGCTATATCCACTGGGCTTCTGGAATATACACCTAATGAACTGTAACAAGTCTAAGCAACATATACAGTTATTGTGAGAATGCATTCAAGGTGGAACTGGCAAAGAGGAAGGGGGTAATAGATCACTTGGACCACTCTTGATTTTACAAATGAGGGCTGACACTGAGGCAGATTCATTTGGTTAAACTAAATATTAAAATTGTATGATTGCTATACACCATTGACCCGGATAAATAAAACATCCCAGATTTGGCTATACTTTCATAGGACAGAAACATAAGGATGAATGTGCAGAAAACATCTGCTGAGCAACCCAGACAAGCTACTGGTGTATTTTTTCATAATGTAACAAAAAGCTCATCCACATTAAGACATAGGATCATTAAATCATGAAAGTGATCCATCAGCCTCACTTGGCACACCCAACTGGCTTTTTTTAACCTTAAGGTGCCCATACACCTTACGGTTATCGCACGATTTCCATCTGCGATCGCGTTTCAGTACGATAATTGCACTGTTGATGGGAAGTGCACAACCGCAATTACTGTACAAGTGTTCGACTTTTGTCTTTCCAGCAGGCTAGAAAACTTTTATCAAATCGTACGAAATTCGATGGATTAGTGGCATTTTCGTACGAAAAAAACAACACTGCTAATGCGCAAATGAAAATCCGTTCTGTCAATCGACTAAATTCGGCAAGGTGATATTGCTAACGAAAGCTAATTGAAACCCACAATGGTCTGTGCATGATGGGTCAGTTGTTTGAAAATCGAACAAAGGTGCGATGATCGTAAGGTGTATGGGCACCTTTAGACTTCTAGGGGGCTCTACTACACAGGCTCAACCAGGAGAGAGAGACTTGAAGCACTGGATGTCAATCATCACAGGAGGTTGTAGCTGTCAGATGTATGTAAGTATACATCTGTGGATCGGTAAGGTGGGACCTGTTGGGTCAGGGGTGGGGGGGCAGAAAGAAAAAGTGCACTTTGCCTTATTCCTTACGGTCCTGTCAGGAACCAGGATGCCTCCGGGTGGCGCCGTGCAGCTGGAGCAGATCCTACATTTCCAGTGCACACCTGCAGGTGTCTCTGGGCAGTCAGTGGCTGTCTGGTACTTGAGCACCTCCAGGTGGCGCTGTGACGCTGGAACCAGGACCTGCAGCTCCAGGACTCACCTGCAGATGTCTCTGCAATTAAGCACCGCCTGGTGTTACCTGGGAGGGTATTTAATTCCTCCCTGCAGTGGGGATTTTGCCACAGTATTGTTGCCATTACCTGTATCCTGTTGCCTGAGTCCTGTAACCAGTTGCCTCTTTGGACCCTGACTCCTTCCCCCTGATGTCTCTTGATCTGTGGCTCCCCTCCTGTGGCCCTGCCCCCTGGTTAACTTGCCCTGTGGTACTCCGTGTGTTATTCTGTTTACCTTTAGTTTGGCTAATTTATGTAGCTTGTGGGTGTTGTTGGGGTTACTTGCGTTTTATATGATTTTGTATGTCTAATAAACTATAAGTTCATAGCCTTGTTTGGTGTGGTCGAGTATTTGGTCCTCCAGTATAGAGTCCTGCACACGGTATCCTGACAGGTCCTGTGTCAATGGGCTTGGACTTTTTTTAAATGCTTTGAGTGCATTTGACCAGCTTGAAGCGAGTTTTGCAACCCCATGGATTTAAATGCAAAATCTGCTTGAATCGAACAAAAGCCTGTCAAACCAGGCCCTTAACAAAGCTCAATAAGTGTTTAGATTATTTGCACTTTAAAACCATGAGACCAAAATCTTCAGCTCATCATAACAGGATGCTGCAAGTGTGGAACCAGAATAAGCTTACAATGTGTTTGCACCAGATCCATAAAGCAGCTCTGTGATTAAGCCCCTTCTTTTGGAATAAAATGTCTCCGAGTTAGGGACCCAGGTGGGGAGTGTTTTCTGATCATCTTACACTGACATTGTTGTGCAGAAGCTTTCATTATAAATTGTAACATTGAGAAGCATAGGTGAGCTTACCGCAGCTGTGAGTGTAAGTCAGAAAGGGCTTGGAGCAGTGTCGATAAACCTTTGTGAACTGCTGATGGCCAGATCCGCTTAATCCGAGAATTCTATAAAGAAACCTGCAACAAAAAAGAAGTATGCAAGCTGCCATTGCTGATCTTATTTTAAAAATGCATGTGCCCTGGCTGATTTTTGCTCCCACTATTTTTGAATCATCAACCAGCAGTCCTGATCTGCATCAGTGGGTTTAATTTACTAAAAACAAATAGGCTGTTTACTTTGCAAGGGAATTTTCCCTAAGCTTAGTGAAAGAGGTGAAACTCTGCTGACTTCCATCATCCAATTCACGTGCAAGCAAAAATATTTTTTTTTTCCATGCATATGATTGGGTAATCTTTCCACAGTGAATTTTCACCACATTCACTAAGGGAAATGTCCCTTCTAATGTCCAAATACCCTTGCAAAGTGAACAGCCTATCTGCCTTTAGTAAATCAACTCCAGTGGCTCAAAGAATCCACTGGATCAGCATGACAGCCAGACAATCCACATATTCCGAAGGTCAGCAATGACAGCCTTCATACTCAGGGCCAGATTCCCAACGAGGCCTGGCCTCGTGGCGGCAGGGAGTAGAGAAGCCCCAAGGCTGTGGAATTCCCATCGCCTGACGCCAGGGACATGAAGTTCCGGGCGGGAGGAGGGTAGTTTTGTTTCTACATTTAGCTGAGGGTGATAGCAATAAAGTTAGTGGGGAAAAAATTATAAAATAAATAAAAACTGATAAGTAAAAAAAATAAAATAAATTAAAAAAACAAGTAAAAAATATGAAATAATAATTTAAAAAATCAGAAGAATCAAACTCTGAAAGCAGAACTGAATAAAGCAAGCAGAGGGCAAAGGGCGGGTCAACGGTATTGTCTGTGGTCTCCCCGAAGCTGATCTTTTCCAGATTTCTGACTTATCATGCCTTGTTCTGCACTGTGTCTCTGTATGTAGGTGGCCAAGGCTTTGCTTTCTCATGCCGGAACCTCCAGCAAGGAGCACAGTGAGCAGAACACTAGTAACATTACCAAATCTCACTCTAATCTTCTGAGATTAGCAGCCAGAGGCAGCAGTGTCATAGGTCTCACACTGCAGATATACAGCTATGAGGCTATAGGGACAGGTATGTGTCTAGACAGGAAGTTCACAGCGATTTGTTAGATGAAATTCCAGATGAAATTGAAATAATTCAGGTTACTGCTTTGGCTTAATTAACATTTCTAAATGTTTTCTTTGAATAGGAATTATTCAATTTAGGTTGAGATCCACTAAGAACCCATTTTTGGGGGGCTTTCTGTGTCTTGAAGGTGGAACAATTCATGAGCATTGGTAGAATCACCTTTCAACATCCAGTGTTTACCACCATATGGGCTCTGTATACGTAGATGTTTAGTCTTATTCTTTAAGACTTTGATAATTCTCTGCTAAACAATCATGACCTGCTTTATGGGTGTGTTTATGGGTATTTTAATGTTTTCTATGTTATGAAAAAGATTTTGTACATTTTTTTAAACTGGTTTGATTCTATTGTGGTTTTCTTCTAATCTCAAAAAGCCCTATATAATTTCATTTTGTATATTCATCTTTCTGTGTCAATGTGAGGGACAATGCCCTTTTAGGCAGTTGTCACAACAGGTGTCCCCATTAGAAGATTTCCCTCACCTCTTATTCTGGTGTCAGTTGTACTATATAGGATATCCCATCACTTTCTGTCCCAGTGACCATTATCTTTGGGACAAACAGATGATGGAGCTCCTCATGGTTACACAAACAGCAGTAAAAACCCTTCCCTGCCCTACCTATAACAAAAAAAGGTTTTGGCTTTAGGTACACTTATTCTATGCCAACCAATCATTTCCAAGAGTAAGGGTACCCTTATTTCACATGGATGAGTCAGTGTTGTTTCATCACATTTTCTTACTCAATCCTGACACATGGATGAACTGAAAACCTGTTTCCTGCATCCTTTGTTCTATTTTAATAACAACAGCAGAATCTGCCTTGTGCTTTCCTCACATCCTTAGTTAGAAACGTATATTGTGGAACCCACTCAATCAACAATCATTATTTCACACTGGTAGACAGGATGTGGCTATTTATAAGACCAAGAGACATAAAAAGGAGTACATGTCTCATTAATCGGTACTAGATGTTAGACCAGGTTCACATCTATCAGTGTCTGCTTTTGTCAGATCGTTAGTATGTTGTTTACACGCATTTTTTATGTATTGTGGTGCATTTTTCATGCACCATACATTTTTTTTGGGTTTGGCTAAAGAACATTGATAATTGTTGTGGACTTGTGCAGCAGCCATCTGTAAACAATACCACACAAATATATTATTATAGTGCGTGTGTGTGTATTATATATTGTACAACCAGACTGTGTTTTATGTGTTGTCAGACATTAAGCCAATGAACTAGTGTTAAAAAGTCTTTATTCTCGACAGGAGCTATGCAGAATAGTTTATGTCAATGAGGTCTTAGGCGGTACCTCATTTTCTAGTCCCCGGTCTCGTTACCTGGTAATGCACAATATAAAGAGAGGAATTGAAACCAACATAGGAGGGAGTGCGATACATAGAATTTATATCTTTACGCAATAAAAGGCACACTGGGTAAGGTTAACACATTGTCTGGTTTCCATTCATTTATTTTTAAATACGCATATAGAGACACATAATGCATATCAATTCATATAGTGCTTTTCACACACTTTTTATCCATAGGGCTTCTTTTTGGATAGGCCTTAGGTGTTTGTGCCTGGATTTTAACCATGCCTGGGATGGTTTGTAGATTAAGTAACCTCTCCCAAATGACTTTATGGAGGAGTACACATTAGGTAAGTGACACATCAAGGTACCATATGCACTTTATTTTGATCTATCCTTCTATATCATTTCCTCCATTAACCCATTCCTGACCGATGACAGAATTATTCTGTTAAAAAATGTAAAATATTTAAAGACCATTGATGAAATAATACTGTCATGCGGGAAAATGAGTGCTGGTCCGTAGAGGGACCAGAGCTCATGGGGTTAATGCTGTCGCTGGATCCCTCGGTGTCCGAGGCAGCCCCTTAACCGCAAAACAAGAGGTCCCAGCACTGTGATCACTGTGATCGGCAATCACAGTAAACACAGTACTGTTACAGCCACTGATCCAGATTCCAGCTCATCACACCGTGTTGTGGAGCTGAGCAAGTCGGATCAGTGTGCTACAAACTGATGCATAGTATCTCTAAGAAGAGTACAGTGTCTCCTCACAATACTAAGTATCTAAAGCCCCTGTGAATAAAAACAAATTAACACTTTATTGCCCCTCCCCCCCCCCATTTTTAAAAAAGTTTGTAATAGTTTTTCAATGTTTTAAAAAGGAAAAAAGTTTAAAAAGTAAAAAAAAGTTAATAAAAAATATGTTTCATAAACAATTGATAAGAAAATATAATGCAGAGGAGGCTATTAGAGTTAGGAGACAGACACCACATTCTAAAGTTGATCCTCACTAAAATTGTATTTCACTCCTTGTATTTTGTGACATAACTCCAAAAATAAACTGAAATCCCAGACATCATATACCCTATAAATCAAGACAAATATAAGATTTTATTATGAATTACCTTCTGTTCGCTACACTATGTACACAATATTATTGCCAAAACGATTTAAAAAAATGTGTTTGTTTTTTCAATTGTTTTTGTATTTTGTATTTTAAAAAAATAGGACATTCTACATGCATATGTCAAATTAAAGCCCATGTTGTCCTTTAAACTTTAAACAATAGTATGTAATAAGTGTAGGGGCAATGAATGAGGAAGATTGAAATTATGGTTAAACAAACACATAGCAAAACTGGCAAAATTGCTCAGGTCACGAAGAACTAAAAAATATTTCTGAAGCTGTGTCACTAATGGGTTAATCAACAGACAGGTTCATTCTCTCACTTCTCCTTTCTGTTATTCAAAGACATCTGCCATTTAATAGATCATAAAATGCTTATTTGATAAAAACTTTACCAAAACGTAAAATGTACCATGCCATGAATGCACAGAATGGCTAAATGTGACCTGACAAGATGGAACAGTGTTGAATAAAAGCAAACCTGTCATCCGAAGGGAAGAAAAGGAAGGCATTGATGAAAATATTGCTGTGTAAATTCAATGTGCTGAAAATGGACATTACAAAGGTAATTTTTAACATTATGAAAAAATGATAAACTTACTGGGAGATGTCCATTAAACAAAGCAGAACAAACTTGAAGAATATGTCCACACACAAAACCACTTTACTATGCTGAGAGTTTAACAGCAAAGTTTGGGCACACAAAATTATGATAACAGATACTTTCAAAACAAAAATTAAGACAAAATGTTATACTGTATACCTATAGACATGAAATTAATGTAAAGTATTTGTAAACTTAAAGTGACACTAAACTCATAAGTTAAGTCTTAAAAATACATTCAAGTACCTTACCTATTAACAAAAAAGTATCTTATTTGTGTATCACTCGGCTGTAGATCCTCAAATCATCTCTGAATTGGTGCTGACACTGTCCTTCCGTCTGGGGCGTGGCTACTTTTGTTCCTCATGGTTCCTGTGTGTGTTGTGAAGTAGCCACAGCTCGAAGCTCGCTCCCAGGATGGACTACAATCTCACACTTAGTTTACTAATTTGTATTGAGATTGTAGTCCATCACAGGAGTAAGCTTGGCCTGGTGAAGCGGTGAATACTTCACAACACACACACACACACACAGGGACCATGGGGAACAAAAGTAGCCACCCTCCAGAAGGAACGACAGTGTCAGCACCAAATCAGAGATGATTTGAGGATCTACAGCCGAGTGATACACAAATAAGCTAAATTTTTGTTAATAGTTAAGGTACTTCAATGTATTGTTCAGATTTAACTCCTGAGTTTAGTGTCACTTTAATGTTTATCAGTAGTACATAACAGGAACTCATAACAGAGACAATGTAAATATATAAACATGTAACAATAAGAGTATTACTTTTCAGAAGATGTATTTATTGGTATCAGGATACGCTGTAGCTCTACAGGATCCTTAGCACTGCTGAAATAGCTATGAATTTTCCTTATTTTCAATAAAATGAAACCTGTCACAAATATGAGTACAACTTGAATAGTTGCTGTAACTATACTGAGATGAAAAATGATTTTTCCATATAGAAGACAATATCCAAGTAACTTTCTAAGAAGAAGAGTATATAAATCATCATTGAATTTAGGGGTTGTTCCCATATGCCCCGGCAAAGATGTGCTTGAAGAATCATTATTATTCCAACCAGTGGGATGTTCAGCAATTGTGGATAAATCATCCTTTGATGATGTACGAGTATGGGTAGTTTCCACATAATTTGGGTTAACAGAGGCAGTAGTGGGCTTGTAATGAGCAGATTGCAGTTTAGTAGGAGTAAAGGTCACCTTACCTCTCAGTTGGATGCTTTGTGTCGTACTGGCTAAAGATGTTGCTGCCTCATAAGGATAGTCATTTGCTATAGTTGTATAGCTACAGACTGGTACATTAAAATCAAAGACAGATTTTCCCATGAGTGCTGAAGGATGGTCACAAAAAATTGACATGGTATTCAGTACTATTTCTACATTCTCTACAAGCCACACCTTGAAATCTTGAAGCCTGCAATCACATGCCCAAGGGTTGCCATCAAGACGGACCTTTTTAAGCTTGGTCAAGGACTTAAAGAAGGTCCCCGGCAAAGTCATTAGTTCACTTTTATTTAGGTACGCATTTTCAAGGTTTATAAGAGGATGAAACAGATTCTCAGGAAGATCCTTCAATTTATTGCTATATAGAGATAGAGTTTGTAGCTGCTGAAGATCCTGGAACAAGCCCTCAACAAGAAATTCCAAACTGTTTGAATGCAAAGCCAGCTCCTGAAGTTTACTCAGACCACTGAATGCATCTTTTGGAAGACTCTGAAGCTTTTGGTTTTGGGTTAATACCAATAACTTTAGATCAGTTAGATTACTAAAAACAAAATTGGGTATTGTCATGAGATTTGTGCGATAAAGCCACAAATTGGTGAGATTCTCCATTTTGCAAAAAAGCACACTGGGAAGTTCGGTTAAAGGGTTACCATATATTGTCAGTTTAGTTAACGAAGGCAAATAGAGAAATAATCCCTCAGGTAATGTTTTTATTCCATTTCTATGTAGGGTCAGCACATTTAATTTTGGTAAATTGTAGAATGTTTCTTTATCTACCGTTTCAATTGCATTCGCATACAAATGCAACTCTTGCAATTCAGTGAGATTATCGAACATCCCAGATGTTAATTCCGACAGACGATTTTCATAGAGTGTTAGAGATTTCAGTTTGAACAACGAGTTGAATATATACTTTGGCAAAGAGCCCAATTTATTTCTGGATAAATATAGTATTTGAAGATTTACAAGATGATCTAGTAACCCAGCAGGCAATTGTCTAAGCATATTTCTGTTCAACATGAGCTGTTCTAGGTCTGTCAGGTTTTGAAATATATATGGATCAAGATCAGATATTGCATTCCGTTCAAGGATTAACTGCTCCAGATGAAATAATCTGTGGAATATTCCTGGAGGTAGACTTCTTATATTATTGTTGGACAGCTTCAGAGATTTCAGAAGAGGGAATTTTTGGAAAACCCCAGATTCTATAAAGGAAAAATGGTTTCCTTCGAGAAACAAACGTACAGTTATAGGTGTTTCTTGAAAGCTGGTATTGGTCAGTTCTGTAGCTTCAGTGTGGCCTATATAAACATACGTAACATCAGAAGGTATGGATAATGCAGCAATATCTCTAATTGATGTTCCCGAGCAAGCAATGAAGTCCTTTATTGTGCAGTTACACAATACTGGACAAAAAGCATCCAGAGCAACAAAGCTTGATGTAAATAATATGAAGAACACAAACATGATTAGGAGCAAACCTAAAAAGCAGAAAGAACAGAAATCAGAAAAGTGGGTTTCAGTCTACAATAAAATATTCATAGTCATAAACAATATAAGGCTGCCTTTAAATATTAATAGAACATATAGTTACATTTTATAGAAATTTCACAATTACATACCCAATAGCTACCAGTGAAAATGATCTTTATATCTTGCTGTTTGGTCTATATGTCCGTTAAAGAATACTCTTCAAAGCAAAATGTATGCAGAATTGTAGCAGAGTGCATCCTGCTGATAATGATGCTGCCACCGGAACTGGTAATAGATAATTAATATACAGAAGTCCTTTTTTTAAAGGGAAACCAAAATTATGTCATGTCATAACCACATATGGACAATAATAGTCACTTCATCCCTATTCACTGGAGTGCCGCCCTTATGTTAAAGATCAATACACCTAAAACAAATAATTTGGTTATTGGTAGATGTTAGAGAATTAGGCCATCTTTCTGGTCTTTTATCTGTATAAAATGCTATAGGGTCTTTAGTGGCGCAATCTCCACACAACTGTTGTAGCCATTATAAAAGGATTCACTCTGCCCATGTAATCATGTTACAGGAAGATGGTGAGTAGTCAAAACTCCAAGCTGAGCAGGAAAAGGGACAGGGAAATTAGGCTGAGAAATGCTCAAGAAATATAGGATCAGTCAGTAGGATGACTCACCAAGACTTCACAGACTGGCGAAAAGGTGGGTGCAAGCTGTTTTTGGCAATATGCTCTGATATTTTATATTAGCTATCCACATAAATAGCAGCCAGACCAAACTTCCATATAGAGAAAGACATGACAAAATCTGGGATACATTGCAACAGCAGAACAGTCAGGTATTGGGCTAGGAAAACAAGATTTTCTAAGCCATCCTTTAATTAAGGTGGCACAAAAAAATCTGCTGTAAGTAAATATAAAATATACTTAAAGCTGAATGACAGTCTATAAAGCAGTGGTTCTCAACCTGTGTAACCTCGGGACCCACATGTTTCCTTGGTCATTAAGGCGTGACCCAAAAATGATTTAATTTCTGAAACATTTTAATTTATTACACAAAACAGATAAGAAGTTTTTATAAGACCCCATTTGCCAGATGACCTGTAAAGCAAAAGCTTGAAATGTAACCCCTTCATGACTGAGGCCCTTTTTTCATTTTTTGCACCCATGTTATATTCCACATTTTATGCATTGTATGTGATATGGTTGCTTAGTGGCGGTGACAACACTGATTGGAGAAAATCAAAAAAGGGATGCTTTGTAGAACCAGTCGTTATATCTGTAAGCAGCAAGAAAGAAGACCATGGGATCCTGGAAAGTATTCTGTATTAGATCATCCCCTTGACTAAAGTAGCATTAGGGAAGGGGGGCTGGCTTGCAGAATTTAAAGGGACATTAAACTCAGTTGAAGAGTTTGGAGTCGTGGCTACTTTCCAACACACACAGGGACCATGGGGAACAAAAGTAGCCACCCTCCAGAAGGAAAGACAGTGTCATCACCAATTCAGGGACGATTTGAGGCTCTAAAGCTGAGTGTTACACAAAATAAAAGATACATTTTCGTTAATAAGGTACTTAAATGCATTTTTAAGGTTTAACTCCTGAGTCTAGTGTCACTTTAAAGTTTAACTATCTAAAGTTTGGCTTTAAAGTTGTGTAGTAAACGAGAAGTGAAATTCAATTAACCATGCCTCTTCGGTTTTTTTTCTCTTTGCTTATAGATGTACTGTTAAAAATTCATAAATATTTCTGACTTTTCCAGGAATTAAGTCTTTCTTGAACAATGTCCTGCTTGAGAGTTATGGACTTAAGTGGGTATTAGATGCAGTAGCGTTTTCAGTACTGAATCCTTCCTCATCCGCTTCCTTTGATTAGAGGAAGGTGCTCCTTTTTACTGTAAAATGATTTAAAACATTTGTTGGGTAAGTGCTGCTGCAGCTCACAGACTTGTTTTATGATCGTTTCCTGGTGAATTAAACCTAGACTGAAGGCCTACATGAATGCAATTTTTTATGCATGTTCCGGGGTCATGAGGTCTCAGGCAGGCAAGTTGGTTGCTTATAGGGCTCTTAAAGCTGAACTCTGGGTAATAATAAAAAAAAGGTTATTGCTCACCGATCTTAAAACACATGAAGGTAATCTATAGCACACAAAAAAAATGTTTTTAAGAGTCACATTTATTTATATTGAAGTGATATTAAACCCAGTTTTCTAGTATTTTCAGCAGCTTAAGTAAACACTTACATTGTCTGCCCCTTTTTCATATATTAATCTTGGCTTTACCCTTCCTTGCTGGTTCCGTTTACTGGTGCAGCTTTCCAGTTATTAGGTGGCTCCTTTACCTGGTGGGGTTTTAGGAGCCGCTCTTTCGTCTGCACCCCCACACTACCAGCTGATGTGAGGATGCTACCTGTGCCAACATGCATAGGCAATCAGTGTACAACACATAAGACATACCTTTGCCCCTCTTCCAAGGTAGGTGATTGACAGGCAGCTCCCAAGGTAGTGCCTTGTTAGCTGCCGTCAATCACTGGAGGCGCGTGCCGTGTGTAGTCTGGGGTGCCTGTGTGTATCTGTGCAGGTGGTGTAGACCCCAGGAATTACTGGTACTAGACTTGTAAGTGGGTGATTCCCCACCCAAAAGTTCAGGGAAGCTGTGCACAGGAAGCCCGGGGATGCAGTTGTAAACAGACTCAAGTTTAGGTGCTCCTGAACTTTGTTGCCAAGAATTGTTTATTGTCCTGAAGGGAAACTAAAAAAAAAGGTTTGCAGTTGTCACCAGAACAGGAATAGAGGACAGCTTCTAATGGGGCTACTTGACCAATGTCGTAGAGGAGATGTACCTGTATTTTGGAGAGATTCCTTCTCACCTCCTGTGATAAAAGGGAGGTGAAGCTAAATCACCCCAAATGAGTCAGACAGCATATACTGTGTGTGTAATAAATATATATCTATATATCTATATATACACACACACACACACACACTGAGTGGCCAGATTATTATGACCACCCCATCAGTACTTCGTTGGGCCACGAGATAACTCCACGAGATGACTTTGTTGGGCCGCCTCGTGACTCCACGAGATGTTGAAAGGTGATGCGAGGAATCTGACACTGCACTGTTGCCCTTCTGTTGTCTTGTACCAGTCTTGCCACTCTCCGTTCTGCCCTAACATTGACTAGTCGCTGACGGCCACAATTCGCACGTTCAGACCCAGATTTTCGGCTGACAGTCCAGTCTTTAAACACTTTAACAACAGCTGCTCTTGAACATTTAACAAATTCTGCTGTTTTGCTGATACTCGCTCCATGGCTTCGAGCGCCAACAATCATCCCACGTTCAAAGGCTGTTAAATCGCGTTGTTTACCCATATCTTCAGAAAAAAATCACTTCTACTGTCGTGGTAAACAACCTGCTTCCCTATTTATAATGGTCTGGCCCTCTAGCAACTTCCACGCCAAATTATAGCTAATTTGCCTACAAACGTCAGGTGGTCATAATAATCTGGCCACTCAGTGTATATACATATACACAAACACACATACATTTTTAAAGTGATCTTTGGCTATGTGTTCAGAGACTATACCAAAGTTTGATAATTTGAAGCTAGGACTTATTTTGTTCATGATTATGCTATATGTTTAGATGCATTCAGTGATCCTCCAACCTCTGGTTCTTTCAAGAAAAAGGAGATCTGTTTTGAGTCGAGTTCATGTGCACTTTATTGTACCGAGGTTGAATCCACCGAGTTATGCTATGTATAAAGGCAGCTGGCTGCACTAGTGCCACATTTCTAGTCTTCTGCTTCCACCACAACCCAAAAGCACCAACATCAGTATATGCACTTGTTTGGGGTGTATGACCACTGTAATTTCAATGGCACAGGGAAAAGTGCTTCCCTGTGCCATTGCGATTTAAACATTAATTCTCACTGCAACCTTTTCCAAAGCGTATTTCAAAAAGTTAAAGCAGTAGGGCAATCCAGAAAGTTCTAAAGAGAAAACAGTAAAGTGGCCCAATGCTGTCTTTAAAACATTGTACAATATGCCAAATAACTAAAGAAAACGTGTGGCCAAATAATACAAAAGAAACCGACACTTACAGTAGTCCCCCACTTTAGTTACATTCAAGCATTTTTTATTTGCTGCCCAGTGCCCCCGGGCCCAAGGAAACAGGGGAGCCCTGATACTTACATAGCTACCACTTCCAAACAGCATCTTACCACATTCTGTGCCTATCAGCCTGTTAGTATTATGGGAGCGCCTCCCTAACTAATAAAGTTGTGTGGGAGGTTAGCTATTACAGATGGTGGTCACTGATCACTAGAGTGGCCTGATTCTAACAGGGCACTCTACAACCCTAAAACAAATGCAAGCTTTGGGAGGTATTTAATATAGTATTTATGAATTTGTTCTTGTATTATATATCCACAAGTTTGCCTCTAACAAACAAGAAAAACATGTTACACCAAGGAAACACGTCTTCTTACTTTCCCAGTTGTATGGGGAAATTACGATCTCACACGGACAGTGGGAAGGAGACATTCATTTAAAAGTAAGTAGGGACTCTGATGCTTCCTTCTTCAGCAACTAAAGTCCACACTACGTTAGGTAAATATATCATTATGATTTTCCTTTTGCCTAATTACACTATCTTGTTAACAGTAGCTGAAAGAGGCCCCATGTGTGAAAAAGAGTTCAGAATTAAAATAATAGAAATTCATTATAAAATGTCAGAGGCAAACAGGTTAGAGAGAATTTGTTCTGAAGCAAAATATGTAGGTGTTGATTTACTAAGGGCAAATAGACTGTTCACTTTGCAGGGAAGGTTTCCCTTAGCTTAGTGAATGAGGTGTAATTGTCACTTCAAACGAATAATGTCCAAGGAAAATAATAATAAAAACAAAAAAAAAACAAAACAGTATTTTTGCTTGCACATGATTGGGTGATGAAGTCAGCAGAGCGCCACCTCATTCACTAAAAGGGAAAGTACAAAGGCCCTTGCAAAATGAACAGCCTTTAGTATATCAACCCTATGCTTTGACACATGGAATATATTCAGCTTCATTGCCCTGGGAGTTAGAGAAGTCATTCGAAGCTTTTGATTGACAAATCTCATGGTTAATTTTTTTTTTAGGACATATCCAAAACACATGGACTGTTCTAAAAGTTTATTTCCAAAGGCTTTCAGAAACCGAGTTTGGTCATTATGTTCGCAAGCATTTTAACTTCACTGACCTTGTGCCTTTCTAAGCACTCAAAAAAGTAATATGACACAAATAAACCTATATCAGATGTTATGTTTTTATCAATATGACATCAGCACTCAACAAATATAACGTGGGTAAGGTACACATTTTACTGAAAACATTCATGTTTCTTGGAAAGTATATTTTAACTGGGAAAAGCACTACATAAACTAGACAGACACTAGACTGGATTTTGTGTGTATTTTTTTATTTAAAAGGGCTTTAATCACAAAATGATTTACATGTATGTACAGTTGATATTTACAATTGAAAGACTCTATTTACTTTTACAGTAGGGTACCGTAAACAGCAGCACTTTGTTCATTTTGATATGCAGCATCCATTTCTCTATCTGTTTTGTCAGAACAATGGGATAAAACAGGTAGAAGTTGAGATGCAGGGCACAGTGTGACATTATTAAAAAAATCTCTACACCCCAAGGATGGAACTGTACAATTTAGTACCCCTGGAATGTAAAACTATCAAGTCAAATAAAACAGTGCAAGCAGCAAAGCCCAGCATATAGACCTGGTAAATACAAATCCAAACCCATCTTGTACAGGTCTGCTTCAGTAAAGTCCCCTTTGATTGGTTTCTATGGGTTAATTGTTTTGCAATCTGCTTTCACTGTCCATTGAAAAAGACTACAAAAAGGCTAACAATCTGTATGGAACTTTGTGCCTAATCACCCTTACATAAATGGAGTCTTGTAAAAATATTAAGTTAGGCATTTCTAGTTAAAACCTCTAGTCCAAAGCTAATCACCTATTTAAAGGACAGTTTGTGCACAGTTATAGAAAGATCCCAAACATCACACCTGGACCTAAGAAGGCAATACAAAATGTCTGATGTGTGATTTGTAAGCTCTTTTGAGAATGTTACAATGTTTATTATACTACAACTGAACTATCTGAATCATAATAATGTTCAGAAAGTAATGTACAATTATAGTAATGCATGTAGTATGTCTTCCAGCATCCAAACACTATGAAACAGATGAAGCTCTGACATTATCCCTGCTCAGAAAATAATAGGTTCAAGCTGTGCTCGGACAACAACATAAGGGCTGGACAAACATGAACTTAAGAAGAATTTATTGAAAAGTCTTTAGGAAAATGATCAGAAGTGAACAAATGAAAGTTCCAACTTGTGATCATTTTATACAACTCATGAGTATCTGTATAAACTTTAAAAGAGAACTATGAGGTATTTTCCCCCATAGTTCTCTTTAGGGTCACAGGACATATACTAGCGTACTAGTGTCCTTCTGTGACCCAAAGCTCAGCAGCCGGGATGGATCCCGACATTACTGTCGAGAGCCACCCAGCTGCGTGAGTGACAGCTGGCTCTGCCTATCTAGAGACCGAGCCAGCTGTGCCCGCCCCCTCCCCGTTTGTTCGTCCACTCAGCGTCGGAGGATCGGAGAGGGGGGGGGAATCCCTGCAGGGAGCCGTGCTGACAGTCACCGCTCACTGCATGGAAACATTCGGGAAGTGAGCGGATCGGTTGCATGTTTCTGCTCATTTTCCGATCGATAGAGCCAACGTGTGACAGCTTCTTTGTCACAGGTCGGCTCTAACTATGAGGATGAGTGGAAATCACTTACCTCATAGTTCTCTTTTAAAGGTTTTGTTTTAAACTGTAATAGTCCTGAGCTATAAAAGAGCATTCATCCTGATAACTTTTCTTAAAAATGATTGGCCCAGATTTTCTATTAAGCTACAAAATCATTTTAATCATATCTCATATTTTTATCTGTTACCAGAGATCTTTTCTCTACACAGAATGTTGCATTTGTCAATTTTTATTGATCCTTTATCAGATGTTCTCAAATATACCTTCTTTGGCCTCACTAAAGCTGGTCATTTCTGCTAAATTGGCAAACATTTGCGCTGTAGGTGACCCTGTAGTCCCCACCACAAGTAAGTGGGGGGAGAAAATCAAATGAGCGGGGTGGAAAATTGGCAGCTAAACAGTGACTGCATCCAATCAGATCATATATTCAAACAGCGGCGGGTGCCTGTTGTCTGAATACAGTAGCTGGCAGGGGAGATCCCTCCATACATGCTGTTTAGCATGGATGGGGATATAAGAGAAATGAACCAGAAATCTACACGTGTATGCTTTTTTCCCGCGATTATCGTACGATTATTGCAAGGTGTGTGGGCACCTTTAGACTCAATATGACAAAGAAAAGTGAATGTTCACTCTACATAGGTGCAGCTGTGTTCACAGAGAACACTGAATAATGTGCAAGGGAGGTTTAACCCCCCCTCCCCCCCCCC